AAATCTAATATCAAATAGTTGAATTATTATTTCCATAATGCCAATGGTGGTTCGACTATAATTGGGGAAGTTCTGAATAGTGGATACGACAACATTTATGGTGTTGAAGAAAGTTTGTGTATGTGCGGCCATGAACATTAAGAAGCACATGAGAAGGACAAAAAGAAGTAATCAGACTTAGAACAAGATGACGACTCCCGTAATGGACAACTGCATAAGGAAGTAATTGAAAAAAAATTGAATAGCATCGGCCAGCTAAAACACCGAAAGGCTTGACTTGAAACGAAACGATGACGGATATGCTCATCTTTGTTATCAATAACACCATGGTAGATTAGACCGGATAAAACACGGATACTGGCGCCAATGTCCCTAAACACGGAAATGGTGGCGAGTGCGAGCTGAATGTAATTTCAGCACTACACAGTGTACTCTAAAGGCGTACGAAGCATCACAACCATAATATTAACTTATAAATTATACCAACATATATTCTATCTTCACAATATATATATATATATATATATATATATATATATATATATATATATATTTGTCAAGAAAGAATATATGTTGGCATAAATACATCTTAAATAAGCTTACACCTTCCCCTTCTTTGGAATCGAAAATTTCTTCGGAGAACCTAAAAATCTACTTCTTCTTATCAATTCACCACCATTATTTCATTTTCTTATTGTGGTGGAACCGTTTTCATCAGTCATCACACTAGACTACATAAACATAATGTAATATCCATTAATAACTTGCAACAATATAGGAAATCAATAAAACATTTAGTCAACAATACACACTTTATTCACATACCTTGATAGTGTGCTACTGACACCCACACCATCAGTATCTTCGCCATTCATAATACCCTATTTCACACCTATGACAACATCATTCAATCTAGGTAACATAACATGCCCATTTAAGTAAATAACACATTTTTCTCCTCTACAGCCTCGTCTCCTTTCACATCCTATAGAAATGTGGCCAACAACCGAGCATCATTCCTAATTTGGACATCTGTGTAGATATGATAGTTGTTACGCAAGTTAAAATCACTTACTCCAACATGTATTGCATAACACTGGTCTATAATCATATTCAACCCAACGGGAAATGTATCCTCATCCTTGTCTTTAAATAACCCCTGACCATGTAATTTTCACTTTTCCCAAACAGGCATGTCAGATCTCAATCAAAGAGAACCACAGACATTGCACCAAAATTGTCTCTAAACCATACCCGAATCTTATATCTACACCAAAAAACACCAACATTTACGTTAGTTTAATCATTACAGAATCATGCATATTCTACAAATTGGAAGAGAAGTGTAACTTGTAGTCATAACCAAATCCATACGTGTTGCACTTTAGAAACTCCTAATAGTCGTTCTCCTTAATGTTGAAACTATTAATGACATCTGAGTCACACTACAATGACATTTTCCACAAGTAACATAAAACAAATATTTCTCTTGTTGAATAGCGATGATGTTCCTAACCAGCACCAGCTTGATTTCTTGTGAACAAAAAAAAAATTAACATTGTTACTCATACCTAAATAATACCAAACAATATAGATTTAATACTTACCCCAAGTCCTTAAGAGCAACCGCTAACAACCTTTTCCAATTGGGTGAAAATTCCTCAGTGTAAGATCAACCTTTACACTTTCCATATATACAAACTTCTCCAATGCAACAACCACTGCATGAATCTCTGATGCATTGCAAATACCATTGGGAAACTAATGACGTAGCTTTCTAAAGTGTACCAATTTACCTATATTTAAACATGTTATTTACTATTTTTGGAAAGTCCACAATATCTTCGAATTTTGAATTGGCCATTACTCTTTTCCCATAAAAACAATTATTGATCACAACACGACCTGTAACTACCATGAACACGCATATGATGACCAGGTTATAACAAAACGATCTTCAGACTTCTTTATGTGAACCAAACCATTGGGTGTTACATATATGTAGTACTTACCCTGTCATCGTATAATCCTATCAAGACGAGTGATGACCACCACATGTTCACCAGAAGCAACATTACCAATCCCAGATGAAAATTCCAATGCATGTTCAGCCCATAGAGTACATCGAATACGATCCAAACTGGACAACAAACAACAATTAATATTCGTATACATGCTAAGTTCTATCCCATCAAAATTACATAAAATAGACTAACTAATTATGTCTTACTCAAGATCTTGAAAATCGAGCAAAACTCACTTAGTAGATTCAGAAATACCCTATCACTACACCAGTCACATCTACAAAATGAAACACCGTGTAATTCAGAAATACCATGACAGACAACAAAAGTATAAGAGCAAGTATATCTTTTATAGCAAAGCCTAGTTACCATTTGCACACTACTCCTAGCATGATCTCATAATGTCTCCAGACATGGAAAAAAATAAAGAACTCCAAGCACGGGGGAAGTCATATATCATGGCCTTCATTGACTCATTTTTATGAAAATTTAATTTAAATATGTGTTGCTATTTTTAAACTGACAATGTTATCACCAACAAAGAAATTCGAAAAAAACATACATACTCTTTTCCTCAACAAGCCTTCAAACTTGCAAATTAGAGTCTTCTTAATGGGCGCTAATATATGGTTTCCTTGAAATTATCATACAAACAAAAAAAAAGAATAAAAAAGTATACCAATGCAAACAAAAGGGAGAAAACTTATCCATGACAGGTTGATACCTTCTGGTCCATTAAAACCATATCAATAATGTTCAATTCAGATGACTTCAATTGAGCATAATGGTTCGATACACGAACATCTCGCCCCTTGAACTTCAATCCATCGGTATCAGTATTCAAGTCACTAATCAAAATAGTGAACCAATCGTAAAAACTTGATAGTTCGAACAGTTATAGGTAACACAACAATTATATATATAATTGATACACCCTATGCATACTTGATTTCTATAGACAAAAAACAGCATCTAAGATCCTAAATTAATACGCATGCACCCGAATAACCCAACCAGTCACAATACGGTTTCAAAGCACAATAAATTAAAGGACATGTAAACAGCCAAAAACTGTCTGCCCCCAGAAGAACCTGTAACCGCCACTCACACATTAGGCTCTCCCAATCAATTGAACCGTTTGAAAACAAAAACTTACTACATGTTGTTTTGCACAAATAAAGTTGAATTAGATCTTCCATATAGCCTTGAAACCTGGAGCTTCCGACAAATTAGCAAAAAAAAAACTGTTTTAGTTATATATGATTTAGATTTCTAACTTAACTTGGTTGTATGAAGGGGCATATATGTTATTACAAAGGGATTAAAATGAAATGGAGATTGTATGAGGACCGAAGAACTGAAAGGAAAGTGTGGGTAGATGTTGAGAAGATCTCGCTTGCTTCCTTTCGCTTTTTGTATAATCAGCAGTATTTTGTATTTCGTGTTAATGCAAAGAGAAGGTTTCTGATTCTTGCTCTACCTCATGTTTAGTAAGGTAGACTTGTTGATTTGATTTACTATTATGATTCTTATATTATGTAAACTAGTAAATATGTTTATAATCTGTAAATAAAGTGTTCTTGTTTAAATCTAAACGAGATCTAGAAATTTGACAGTCTTTTAATATAAGTATATGTGATACGTGAATGATATATTATCTTAAGATATAATATAATTATTTGAGTTTGAAAAAGAAAATGTTTTGATATTTACTTTAAACTTGTATATCAAGATAAGCATCACATGTAAGGTAACCAGTATCATGCTGAAAACATGGTTTTTGGTTCTTTAAATGGAAAAACGATTTTTTTTCATAGTATAGGTGACTACTAAATACTGAAAACCATTAAATGCAAGAACCGGTTCTCAACCACATGTATACAACTGTTTATGTACGTTTTAGAACTAGGTTCTAGAAATGATACTAGAAGCTTACCCCTAATGAAAAGGTGTGTTTTTTTTTTCTTCTCTTCTTTGTAGTTGATACGACCTCATTTTCCAACATAAGACTTTTTCTCCTATTTCCTTTGCATGCATATAGTGTTAGATCATGTTTTCCTTTTGTTAAGACTTTAATATTAGCCATTTCCTTCCAGTAACATGTTCACGTTTCCAATTCCTAGATTATGTAGTTTAATTCCTTCATTATAAATAACTTGTTTTTTTTTTGGAAAGGGAACTTCCCTAACGAGGGTTTCCGGCCAGCTTTCGCGCATCGACTAATCCCCCGCTGCAAACATGAAGCTTTGCCTCATGCCCTGAAGTCACTGCAGGCGAACCTCCATGACCACAAGGGCTAAGTGGTGCCAGGATTTGAACATGGGTCAATAGGTTATCCATCATATCTTCCACATGCTTTACCAAGTCACCACAACCCAAGTGGTTCATTATAAATAACTTGTTAATTGCATAAGATTAATAGTTTCAGTTTGTGTTGTTAGTTTCATTAGTAGATTTGAGACTAGTCATCTCAGGAATTTGGCTATATTAATGGTCATGTCATTTCAATATAGAACAAAAATAATTTTGAAATTCAACCTAAAAAAAACAAACAAAACTCCACCCAAAAACATGAAAAATGAGTTCAACATTTCGAACATATGAATTTTCGAACTACATATGGATTTTAACCCTACATTTCTAAAAGAAAAAATAGTCCAAAATATCGAAATACTTATTAGAAAAAATAATTTTTGAAATTGCTTTTTTATGTTTAAAAAATTAGTTTGAAAACTGTAAATTTTCTAACTTTGTGATTATTCGAAAAAATTTGGAAAAAAATGGTACCAACTCTTAACACCTATAAAAATTTGATGAGGTGAATAATGAGATAATACTTCAAACAATCAACAATTTATTTCTGTCCATAACTATGAGAATCGGTTAATAAAAGAGATAAATGTGAAAAAAAACAGCAAAGTAGAATACAAGATATCATGCACAAAGCAGATCATCACTTGGCATACTTGAATTTCATTAGCACGAAGAAACTTCATGTACAAACAACTGAATGTTCTTGTCCGACGAACCACCTTCTGCCACTGCCTCACGGGCCGCCCTTTTCAACTCCGCCCCGTTCTTTCTTAACTCCTTGGATTTAGGCCCACTCAAAACCTCTTCCACGCATCGTGCCACATCTTCCCCATCAAAAAACGCTCCTGGATTCTTATTTAGTTTCACCCCGACGCCCCAAACATCGGTAACAAGCTTTGCATTCGTTGGCTGGTCAGTCCACTGTGGACAAACAATCATTGGTACGCCGGCAGTAATAGTTTCCGACAAGGAATTCCACCCACCGTGACTTAAGAAACACCCGACTGATGGATGCGACAACACATCAGTTTGTGGGCTCCATCTCACGATCAAACCCTGTTCCCTAATCTCTTCCAAGATCTCAAATTGATGGGTTTCTTGATTTTCCGGCAGCTTTACCACCCAGATAAATGGTTGTTTCGAAATTTTCAGACCAGTTGCTATGCTTTCTATATGATTCTTGGATGAAAAAACTAGGGTTCCGAAAGATATATAAACAACTGACGCTGGCTGTTGTTTGTCTAACCATTCCAAACAATCACTCACGTTGGCTGATTTAAACTTATTTGCACCCATAAAATCATCGTCAATCACGTCTTTCTTCCCAAAAATGGACGCCGGAACAATCGGTCCAACTGGCCAAAATGGAACGCCAGCGTCATTAATCGACGTTATCACATCTTTCTCCAGCTCCATGAAAGAATTTCCCAACACACATTTATATTTGTGCAAATTATAAAAGACATCCTTCAATATGCCATCGAACGTAAACATGTTATTCGACGGATGAATGAAAGACGGTAGATCCTCTGCGTGTAGTGGTTGAAGTCCAGGCAAATTCACGCTCATATCAAGGTTGTTTTCAGTTGGGAATTCGCTGAGACGATTGTAGAAACAGTTAAAAATATGAAAGACTGTGGATGCTTGGATCCAAACCATAGCGCAGGGAACCTCAAACTCAGCCGCGACGTCAGCCACCCAAGGCACGAAAGGATTGTTGATAAGACATGCGAATTTACGACCGCTTGATCGGATTAGGGCAGAGATATTTACGGGTCCAAACTGATTTATCGACTTCATGAAGGTATCTATATTGCCGTTCAGTCGATCGGCATCCTCAGGTAGGCCATCGGAAAAATACTCAAGGTGGACGCCGCCAATAGTGGTGGAGCGGTTTTTTAGGGCAAGGTCATTGGTAGCGAGAGTGACATGTAGGCCTCTGGAAGCAAAAAGTTTGCCCAGTCTTAGCATGGGGTTTACGTGACCTTGAGCGTGCGCTGTAACTAGCAGCACACTTGTTTGTTCATTTTTTTCGGAAATTGAAGACATTGTTACTCTCTGTGCCTGTATGTACTTGAGTGAAAAGGCCAAGATGGAAAGACGAAATCCTCCCACTAATGGTTTCTCCGTATTTCTTTAACACAAAGGGGATTTGTTTGATAATAACAGCACGACATTGGTTGACATATTTATATGAATACACTATGTAAACTAGATGGTTGTTTTTTTAACATTTTTCATTACTAAAACGAGGTTTTGTAACATTTCATGTATAATGACTATTTTATTTCTGTTTTTATATTTATTTAGAGTAAAACCAATATGGTTTGGTGTTTATTGCGACTTTGTCCAAAATTATATTAATCGTATATGTATTTTGTAAAAGTTACACTTCTAATTTTTACTTTTTTCTTCCTTGATGAAAATGGTCCTCTTATTTCATTTTATTGTGATGTTGGTTTCTAACTTATTTTTTGATTTTTTTTAATAATCGTTACCTATTCAATTTTTTAAATTTATTCTTAAAAAGTAAAAAACAAAATTGGGTGGCAGCATAACTTCAACGCCACTATCGACACCCCCCCTTCCACTTTCCTTTCTCACATGTGATCATGTTGATTGGCATATGGGAGGTGCCAAAGCGAGAAATGGCGGCCGTCGGAGGATTCAAGATACCATGAACAAACAGATAAAGTGACGAGGGAGAAACGGTCAAAGGGTTCATCGTTTTTTTGTTTCCGATTTCACCGGTGGCACTGCTAATTTTAAAAGGGTGATGCGGAAGTGAGAAAATCAATTATTTTTTCACATGTTAGGACCCCAAGAACCATCATCTTTATGAAAAAAAAATGAGGAGTGAACTTTTTGACTTTTTGTAAAACGTAACAATCGTTTCATTGCTAGAATAAGGGGACACATGAGAGATGGTTGTTACCGATGGATTTACGATGAATTAGAAGTTATCATACTTTAGCTTGTGGTAATCTTTACCGAACAGATTTACCGACGAAATCATTTGTTGCTAACCTACCAATGCAATACCGATGACATTTTAATCACTGATGGAATAGCAACGGTGTAATGCCTATTTTGTGACGTATGTTGTTTCCAAGAGTTTAATCTAAGTTTGAGTTTTAGGGTTTCCGGTGACTCTCGACGTGATTTTCGATGTTGCGGCTCACGCCACATCTTTAAGTAATGGTGTGGTTATGTCTATGTATTGGTCGCGGTCCAACGACGGCTAGGCTCAAAACCCTAGATCTCGAGCCTTGAGCCCTATATAAAGGTGCTAACTTCTGGGGAATTTCATTATTTCATTAACCTCCACCTCTCATATCGAAACCCTAGCCCCTTGTTCACCCATTGGAGTGTGTTTGGTGTTTTGGAGAGGATTTGAAGAGAAAGAAGCTTGTGGTGCTTGAATGAAAGCGTTCTAGTTGAAGTTGTAACCTTCTAGACTCATTATTTGCTCTACAATTCGTGTAGCTAGTACTATAAGACTTAGAGTGTTTGTGATTCACCTTTCAATTCAGGTGAGTCTTCTCATTATATTAATTATGTCATGATTTCATCATATATGTGTTGGATGCATGTGTAATACTATGATATAATTATATGTTTAGCTAGACTAGTAGGGTCTTGTTCGTTTGCCTGCATGTTCTCATTCTTTGTTCGGCTGATGGCGAGACTGGTGTTGCGGCACGGTGAGCCAAATAGGTCGTTAGTTTGATGACAAGACTGATGTTGCGACACTATGATTCGAACAGATCGTTAGTTTGATGGTGAGATCGGTGTTGCGAGACAGTGAACCAAATAGGTTGATATTGATATGTATAGTTATTTACTATGGTGTATGTGATATCTTGAGCAACTTACTAAGCTTTGAGCATACAATTATAGATTTAATGTTTTCAGTTTGTGTTGTGGCAGTGGGAAGGCTCCAACTTGACCACGATGCATGCACATCTTCTATGTTTATGATTTTAGACTTTCGTTGCTTTTTATTTTCTGATACTGGATTTCTCATGTTATGGTATTTTATCGTTAAAACAATAGGTACTTTATCTTTATGAAAATAAAATAGTTGTTACTTATGACATTAAAATGATTTTTTTTTAAAATTTGTAACGTTACAACTTGTTATCAGAGCCCTAGTTTGAGGGATTTGGATGAATATTTGTGTTATTCTAAAGTCAAACTAGGATCTGATAATTATCACAAATCTTTGAAAATAATTTTTTTATAAAAAAGGAGAAGATATGTGATGTATGCAATTATTCGGAGCTAGTAAGGAAAGTAATCCCTTTTGAATCCTGAAAACTGAACCTCTAGCAATCACTCAAGATCGGAAGTCAGCTGAGTCCGAGATAAGTCCAAGATGAGTAGATGTTCCGAGATAAGAAGATCTTTCTGAGATGAAGTGCAATTCCTAGATTAGATGTATGTTCAAACAATTAATGTTTTTTTTGTCTTATTTATGATGTAACATTTCATAAGACTTTGCCTTATGTATCTTATGGATAACAGTTTGTCAAACATTGTGTATTATCCAGTCCTAAGAATGTTTCTCGGTTTGTACTGTGTATCTCCTTTGATAATAAAATGAGTGATTGTCTCTTCATTTAATAGCAATCGGGACATCTCACGTTTTAGTCAAAAGATAGTATTTATTCTCTTTACATCACTTTCACTTTTCCTTCAAGTCAAAGTTCTTTCATAACATTCTTCTTGTTCTTTAAAATATCTTTGCATTGATTATACTCTAAATATTATCTTCATTTATTACTTGAACACTTTGTTGAATATTTCATTCAAGTCTTGACTGGTATTACTAGATTCGACTGGAACCATTAATTAAGAGCAGACATTCATCTTAAAGATTAACTCAAGATTTGAGTTTTCAAACCTTGTCCTTGTGCATTGATTCTTGTACTCACAATCCCCAAAATATTCAGATTTGTTATATATCTTTTGGTATGTGAACTGTTAGAAATACATGCCGATATGTAAGCTACGGATCTATTTATGAATTTCATGATAGAATTGTATGATGTATGAGATGCCTTTAGCCTTAGAATTTTGCTTGCTTTGTGTAAAATTTGTTCTCTGCTATAAAGGCATAGTTGTTTTATCAAGAAGATCCCACGACGTGGCCAAAGGATGAACATGATGTGAAGCTCAACTGACGTTGACTTTGCCCATTGATGTAACATCCGTTTCCAAGTATTTTCATTTTCAACACCAAAAATCCATTTTTCTTTGCAAATCAGGTCCGTAGACTATGCGTACATGTGGTGTATGTCGGACATACAGGTTAACGAGAGACGCGTGTTTTCCTGAGTACGCTGAGCGTACTCGCCAGGCGTACTCGAGGTTGTCTCAAAACCTTAAAATTCGGGGTGTGGCCCTATTTAAGGTCATTAACTCCCCTTGGACCTCATTAAAACCAACCTCCACTCCTGTCAACCCCTATCTCGAAACCCTAATTCTTGTTTGTGAGTTTTGAAGCTTTTTGAGTGACATTTTGGTGTTCTTGATGGTGAAGGAAGACCTTTGAAGTTGTGGTGTTGTTCCCATGCTTTTGGATCCAGATTCTTCTCATATTTGTGCATCTTCAGGAGTGTAAGGAGTCGTGTTAGCAACAGCTCAATTGTGAGATTCAATTCACTCAGCTAGAGGTTAGTCTTCTTACCATACTAGTAGGTCGAAGGCACCAAGATCGGCCCACTGATTCTTATGTGTAGAATGTATGCAATTATGTGACTATTACGTATGTGATTGTATAATATATGGATGGAGCCAATTTGGGCTCGAAGTCATTATGGACTCGCGGTTGATACAGACTTGGGGGTTGATACGGACCCGACACAACTATTTGCTGTTACATGGGTTTGATACAGACCAGGGGTTGTTACGGACCTGACATAGCCACATGCTGTTATATTTATGTGTATGGTGTATGTGGTATTTTGGGGAAGCTCACTGAGCTTTGTGCTTACTGATATGTTTTGGTTTCATGTACTTTTGGTAAAAAAGGGAAGGGCCCGACGTGATGGCACAACATTCTCCCCCTCTTGATTTTTGCATTTATGATTTCTTTTACTCTGATATTTTGTGATAGTTTGTATTTTGGATGATTTTGAGACATGTGATGTTTGGGATTGATGAACTTAAAAATGAAACTTTTATCACCATTTTTGGGTTGTTACAAGTTGGTATCAGAGTATTGGTTTGAGGGATTTGGGCACACTTCCGGGTGTGTCAGAACTCAAACTGAGGAAACGATAATCTTTTCAAAAGAAAAATTAAATTCTAAAAAGATTTTCTCCAAGTAAAGGGGGGGGGGGGTTGTGATGTGTGCAATCAGTTGATCTCAAGTAAGTAGTTCCCAAAATACCCGTACTTATGTGTTATGATTAGTATACCTGATATCCGAATTGCATCTTAGAATAGGGATAAGGATACCTTCGGGAATCGTATGATAGAATTTCCTGATTTGTGTGATACGTTATAAACTAAAGTATTTGGATGTCATGTATTACTTGGAATTGATGTCGGCCCAATTAATTGCTAAATATATGCTTTTAAAGTTGTATACGATTAGGATCATATAGCCCTAGAATGATCAGTTTAGCCTCATTTCATGTTCCTTTTTTTGTTGTGGACTTAGGTTAGAATCATCATTTGACAGTCTATGTGATACCATTTTGTGTATAACTTGCATGCATAAGGCAACCGACAGTGTTGATTGAGATTATGTGTATTGTAGAGGAGGTCAAATTGAGAATTCCTAAGAGAGCCTAGGTAAAGTCGTAGTAGATTTTGTATGCTATAGAGCATAGGATGGGTATATGGATTTAGTGTGGTAACTTAGAAGATTCAGGACGGCCCTTGAGGAGCGTACAAATAGGTGTGGAAAGTAGTATTGGTCCCGTACTACTAGAAGCACATGATATGTACCCGAGAAAAGGACGAACTTGAAAATTCTAAGGAGGCCTATATAGTGGGAGTTCCCTCAAGTTTTACGATGATCATTTATATGTTTATAT